TGACAAGCTGAGACCACAGGCACGCACCACACCTAACTAAATTAAAAAAAATTTTTTTTTGTAGAGACAAGGTCTTGCTATGTTGCCCAGGCTAGTCTTGAACTTCTGAGCTCAAGCGATCCTCCCATCTCAGCCCCCCAAAGTGCTGGGATTACAGGGACGAGCCACTGCACCCAGCCTCAAAAGACATTTTTATTCATCTCTTTAAACTTTGGGACCTTTTTTCTCCTGAATAGTCCTTGGCAAAGGATCTATTTTTCTAACGCCGTGACCACTGAGCTTTCCCCCTTCTCCTGGCAATAACTCCCTGCTCTGCCCGTTGGAGCCCTGCATCCTTGTTCCTTCGGGAGCATGAGAAAGTTCCCTCTGCAATTTTCAGCCTGGCCCTCCAACCAAGGGATGCTGGCTTGGATATGGCAATTTTTGAGGAACTGCATCCGAGACGAACATGCTGGGCACCATTACCCCAATGGAACCGTCTTGGCTGGGCTGAGTTGCTGGGGTCCTTACACCCTACTCCCTGTGCCAGATCCTTCCTTTTAGGTCTACACACCACTCCAGTGGACACAGCCCAAATCACATAGGGCAGTACCAGGGGAAGGACACGTCCTTCTTCACCCTTGCCTTGTCTCTAGTTCATCTCAGGCTGTAATTCTGGTAACCAGAACCGACACGTGATAACGTCTTACCTGCTCAGATCTGACCCAGCACAGCTGGAGAATCTCAGGTCAGAGCAGCCCTCCAGTCTGCAGGCTCCAAAGAATGCTCTGATCCACAACCTCACTCCATTGGTGACCTCATTCGTGGTCTGTCACTCAAACTCTTCCCAAACTCCCTTGTCATTTTGTTTTCCTTCTAACCCAAGAGTCTTATTCTTATATCTTTTTTTGCACTCTTTTTAATTTAATTTTTTAAAAAATTTCTATAGCTTTGGAGGGTGCACATAATTTTGGAGGGTACACATAATTTGGTCCGGGTTTTAAGTGTACCCACCGCCCCCACCTGTGCATGTTGTACCTGATAGGTAATTTTCTGGCCCTCCATTCCGTCCCCCCTTCTGAGCCTCCAGTGTCCATTATACCTTTCTCTATGTCTTTGCATATACTTAGTTTAGCTTCCACTTAAAAGTAGGAACATGTGGTGTTTGGTTTTTTTGTTCCTGAGTTAGTTCACTTAGAATGATGTTTTCCAGTTCCATCCAAGTTGCTACAAAAGTCTTTATTTTATTCTTGTTGATAGCTGAATAGTATTCTATGGTGTATGTATACCACAGTTGCATGATCCACTGATTGGTGGATGGACATTTGGGTTGGTTCCACAAGTTTGCAATTGTGAATTGTGCTGCAATGAACATGTGAGTGCAGGTGTCTTTTTTATATAATGACCTTTGTTTCTTTGGGTAGATACCTAGTAGTGGGATTGCTGGATCAAATGTAGATCTACTTTTAGTTGTTTGAGAAATATCCATACCACTTTCCACAGAGGTTGTACTAATTTACACTCCCATTAGCAGTGGATAAGTGGTCCTTTTTCTCCACATCCATGCCAGCATCTATTGTTTTTTGATTTAGTAATAATGACCATCCTGACTGGCATAATATAAGGTGGTATCTCATTGTGATTTTAATTTGCATTTCCCTGACAATGAGTGATATTGAACGTTTTTTCATATATTTCTGGGCCATTTGTATATCTTCTTTTAAGAGATGTCTGTTCATGTCATTTGCTCATTTTTTAATGGGGTTATTTGTTTTCTTCTTGCTGATTTGCTTGAGTTCTTTGTAGATTCTGGATATTAGTCCTTTGTCAGATGTATAGATTGCAAATATCTTCTCCCATTGTGTAGGTCACCTATTTGCTCTGTTGATGATTTCTTCTGCTATGCAAAGTTTTTAGTTTAATTAAGTCCCACTTGTTTATTTTTGTTGCATTTGTTTTTGGGGTTTCAGCCATAAAATCTTTGCCTAGGTTGATGTCCAGAAGAGTTTTTCCTCGGTTTTCTTCTAGAATTTTTGTGGTGTCAGGTCTGACATTTAAGTCTTTAATCCATCTTGAGTTAATTTTTGTATATGGGGAGAGACAGGAAAAAACTTTCATTTTTATGCATATAGCTATCCAGTTTTCCCAGCACTGTTTGTTGAATAGGGTATCCTTTCCCCCAGTGTATGTTTTTATCATCTTTGTCAAGGATCAGTTGGTTGTAAGCATTTGGGTTTACTTCTAGATTCTCAGTTCTGTTCCATTGGTCCATGAATCTGTTCTTGTACCAGCACCATGTGCTGGTTTGGTTACAACAGAATTGTAATATAGTTTGAAGTCAGGTAATGTGATGCCTCCAGCTTTGTACTTTTTGCTTAGGATTGCTTTGGCTATTTTGGCTCTTTTTTGGTTTCATGTGAATTTTCAGATTGTTTTTTCTAATTCTGTGAAAAATGACATTGGTAGATTGATAGGGATTGTGTTGAATTTGCAGATTACTTGGGTAATGTATTTTCAACAATGTTGATTCTTCCAATTCATGAGTATGGGGTGTTTCTTCATTTATTTGTGTCCTCCACAATTTCTTTCATCAGGGTTTTGTAGTTATCCTTGTAGAGATCCTTCAGCTCCTTGGTTAAATATATTCCTAGGTATTTTAGCTTTTTGGATATTGTAAATGGCTATTGCATTCTTTATTTGATTCTCAGCTTGGTCACTATTGGTGTATAGCAGTGCTACTGATTTGTGTGTGTTGATTTTTTTCTGAAACTTTACTACATTTACCAAGTCCTGAAGTCTTTTGGAGGAGTCTTTAGGCTTCTGTAGGTATAAGAGCATATTGTCAGTGTACAGAGGTAGTTTGATTTCTTCATTTCCACTTTGGATCTGCTTTATTTCTTTTTCTTGCCTAATTGCTCTGTAGTTTCCAATTTTCTGAGGAAGGGTTGGTACCATAGTTACGTTCAGTAGTGATCAACCACTGCACGTTTATAGATCATTGTGAACTCTTCTCTTTGCTCTTGATGAATTTAAATGTCTACTGAATATTGAGAAGACATTGGTGAAGGAGACTGAAATGGTCCCTTCTTGCCTTTGTGTTTTGAGTTGCTCACTTTATCCTTTTTTTTTTTTGGAGTTGGAGTCTCACTCTGTCACCCAGGCTGGAGTGCAGTGGCGCGTGCCCAGCCACCACAGCCTCTACCTGCTGGGCTCCTGCAATCCTTCCACCTCAGCCTTCCAAGTAGCCGGAACTACAGGTTTGCGCTACCACACCTGGCTAATTTTTGATTTATTGTAGAGACGCGGTCTCACCAAGTTGCCCGGGCGGGTCTCAGACCCACGGGCTCAGGCAGTCCACTCACCTCGGCCTCCCAAAGTGCTGGCATTACAGGCTGAGCCACCGAGCCTGGCCTGCTCACTTTATTCTTTTTGGTCTTGTTCATCACAAACATCCGACTTAGCAGATGTTTGTAAACTGCCTTCATTTTTCCTTAGGGGATTTGAGATTATGTATTTTAGTTTCTTCAGCTAAACCGTAAAACTCCAGGAGGATGGGGCAATGTTTATGGCTTTATTTTCTTGCTTTCTGTTGGTGTACCTAGTGCAAGTTTGGGTATCTAGAAGGGTCTGGTAACTAGTTGTATATTGAGTAGACGTGTATTAACATGATCAGTCTTTAATTTTTCATGATCATGCCTATTTCTTTTGTCTTTGTTCTGGACAAGAGTAGTGGTACATTCCAACACTGATCCTCTGAGATCCTCAGGGATTCAATTCAAGTCAGACACTAACTACCTGGAATTCATGCAGCTCCTACAAGTTAGAGAGGAAGACCCTTAACAAGTTTATCCTTACTTCAGATAGTAGCCAGTCTACCCACACCTCTGTCCAACTTGGCTACCAATTCAGGGGTTCCCATGACTCCTGTTCCACTCCATAATTTATAGGAATGACTCACAGAACTCAGGAAAGTGCTATACTCACAATCATCATTTTATTATGAAGGCTACAAATGAAGAGCCAGATTAAAAGATATATAGTGTGGCAAGGTCTTGAAGGGTCTGTGACAGAACTGAGTCTTTAAAAGCTCAGAGATCTTGTCTCTGTGGAATCAGAGTTCTCCACCTTCCCGATTCATTAGCATATTCAGCAACCAGGAAGTTTCCCAAGCCTCACCGTCCCAAGTTTTTATTGGGGTCCCACTACTTTGGCATGACTGACTAAGTCATTGGCCACACGATTGAACTTGACTGCCAGATCCCTCTTATCCCTGGAGGTTGAGGAATGGGGCTGAAAGCTCCAACCCTCTAATTACATGCTTGATCTTTCTGGCTTGGCTGACTCCTCCCTTAAAACTATATAAGGGTCCATCATGAGTGTATCACCTTGTTAGCGTAAACTCAGGGATGGTTGAAAAAGGCTCATACCCTCCAGTCAGGAAATTTCAAGGGTTTTTGAAACTCTGTGCCAGGGAGTGGGCATGAAGATCTCTTCTTTATTGTACCACAGTTGGTGTATGCAGTAGTAATAAAACTTAGTGGGTATGTGAGGTTAAAACTCTTAGACCTTCACATACTTTGAAGTTAATGCCCAAGGAAAAGCCCTTTTTAAAAAAAGAAGAAGAAGAAGAAGAAGATACGCTTAGGTGGAGAGAAAAAGGCAGGCTCAGAAGGAAAAGAAAACGGGCTCCTATGGATAAGGCAACAATGATCATCCAAGAGTTTGAAGGTCTAACAAATGGACTGACTGGCTGCTGGTTTAGGAGACCTCTGTGTCAACAGGGCCAGGAAGGGGCAGGAAGGGTTACAGAGGAAATAGATGGGAAGTGAATGAGTTGGAAGATTCTGAGACCAAGCTCCACAGAGAGGGAGTTCAGCAGGCAAGACTTTATGAAGAACTTCTGATTTTAGGAGAAGTCTAAGATGTGAGGGAAGGAGTAGCAGGAACATGGTGAGAAGAGTGGATCCGGGTAAGTCTTTCACATGGTGAATTGAGTCTTTAAAACCAGTTGCCAGATGACCTCAGAAGCTTCTTCTAGCATTATTATTCCAGAATTCTGTGCCTTCTGAATGAGAGCATCTTGTTGACAATAGGATAGATCCTAGCTCCATAGCTTCCTGGTGTTTGCACCGTCTAGAAAGAAATACATGTGGGAGCTGGGTGTGGTGGCTCATGCCTGTAACCCCAGCACTTTGGGAGGTAGAGGAAATAGGATTGCCTGAGCCCACAGGTTCGAGACCAGCCTAGGCAACATGGCAAGACCTCATCTCTACAATAAATCAAAAAAATTAGTCAAGTGTGGTGGCACATGCCTGTGGTTCCAGCTACTTGGAATGCTGAGGCCGAAGGATGGCCTGAATCCAGTGGGTCAAGGCTGCGGTGGCTGTGAGCCTGCCACTGCACTCCAGTCTGGGAGACAGAGTGAGACCCCGACTCAAAAAAAAGGAGAAAGAAATACATGTGGGAGGTCAGTGGTTGCTAAGCAGGTACAACCATTAAGTAAAAGAGTCAGGAATATGCAAAAGGGGGAACTATATCTGGGAAGATCACCATTGCCAGATTTTTGGACATACTGATAGTGTAGATCTTAGTAACTAGAGGTAACTCTGGGTGGTGGGAGGGGTGGTCCTTTATAGTAGGGGTTCTCACCTGCAGGTGATTTTGCTCTCTGAGGACACGTAACATGTCCCAAGACACTGTTTTTGAGTTGGGGTCTCTGTCACCCATACTGTAGTATAGTAGCATGATCATGGCTCACTGCAGCCTTGCCCTGCCATGCTCAAGTGATCCTCCCACCTCAGCCTTCCAAGTAACTGGAACTATAGGCGTGTGCTGCCATGCCCAGGTAGTTTTGTTTTGTTTCGTTTTGTTTTTGTAGAGATGAGGTCTTGCTATGTTTCCCAGGCTGGTCTTGAACTCCTGGAGTCAAGTGATGTTCTGGCTTTAGCATCCTAAAGTGCTGGGGTTACATGTGTGAGCCACCGTGCCCAGCCCTTAAGATATTTTCAGTTGTTACAGTTGAGTAGAATCTAGTGGGTAGAGGCCAGGGAAGCTGTTCCACATCCTAAAATGCATAAGACAGTCCCCCCAAAAGAATGATCTGGCCCCGAATACTAATGGTGCCAAGGTTGAGGAACTCTGTTTTACAGAAAGAGCCTGGTGGGGAGAACCAAGTATACCCGGTGGAGGTATATTCTCAGAGATACACCAAGTGTAGCTTGGTGGTGGTGGTGGTGGCAGTTGGAGAGGTATGGCGACACCCTTGGGTGACAGACCTGACCCACATCCTTCTTTGTAGCTCATGAACCTGCCGTCTGGTGGTACAATAGCTGCTTTCAGGGCTCAAGTACTAAAATTAACGACTAAAGAAGGTGGAAGAATGCAGGGAGAGCTGTTACCCACAGGGAACATCTGACAATGTCTGAAGATGTTTTTGGTTGTCATGCTGAGGGCAAGAGGGCTACTGGCAGAGGGTAGGGACCAGGCCTGTTGCTCAGCACCCCAATGTTGTGTCAGTCTGGGGTTGCCTGCCTCAGGATTACTTGTAATGAAGATTGGGGGAACCAATTGCTTAAGCTCCTGGGAGGTGGGTTTTCTGTTATCTGTGGGTGAATCACTCCCAAGTCGCTATGACAGAGGTTCTTTGAATCAAAGAGCCATTTCCAGATGCCACCTCTCTCAGAATATATTTACCGGCACTTTCCACGGCTGTACTGGGTTTCCAGTCCCATCCTTGAAGCAGAGAGAGGACAGCCATTCCCTGGCTTCTTTGGCCAGAAGATGCCAACACCAATGGTACCCTCCACCCACATCAGCAGTAGGTTCTGCTGGGTCCAAGATCACAGGCCTGAAGGAGAGTTAGAAAGCATTAGGGGATTCCAAAGCCAGTGACTTCCGATTTGGGGCCCATCCTACTCCCATCAACAAAACAATGTGTTCTTACAACTTAGATGTCAGTAAATCAAATATATAAACGTGATTCAAAGTGATTCCCTAGAATTAAATTAAATTTGTCAAAAATGCTTTGAAAGCTGTAAATTACTATATCCATGAAGGCATAATGTAAATGTCTCCTCCATGCCAGGTCGACTGAAGGATGAGGAATAAGTTAATCAAATGGGATGTGGCCAGCAACCCATGGCGGAAAACCCACGGTATCTAGTCCTCTGTTACTTCTCTATTCTTTCTCAACGCTTCTTTGTTTTCCCTCTTTTCTCTGACTTCCAGTGTCTTTGTACCCTGATGGTGGTCCTGAGTGGCTGCACTAAGTTTTCTTACTATTCTTTATTTTTTTTTTTTTTTTGAGTCTGTGTCTCACTCTATAACCCAGACTGGGATCGCAGCTCACCACAGCCTTGACTTCCTGAGTTCAGGCGATGCTTCTACCTCAGCCTCCTGAGTAGCTGGAACTGCAGGCAGGTGCAACCATATCTGGAAATCCTCCTGCCTCCTCCTCCTAAAGTGCCGGGATTACTGGTGTGAGTCACTGTGCCTGGCCTCCTTACTCTTAAAGGCCTAAAGAGTAGATAAACCTTAATGTAATAAACATCTTGCAGGACCAATTGGCTCATGAAAGATTAATTTTCAGGGACACACTTTCAACTCAAACACCTCTTACACCTGCTAACAAATCCACGCTTTTATTTCTGGTGTAGAAAGATGAAAGCAACTCAGGACTCTGTGTCTCCATCCCTCCCTCCCTCTTTCTTCTGGACAGCATTTTCTCCTGCCTCTCAGGATCTCATCCCTGGAGACTGACAGGCTCTGTTGGCTAGCACTCTACCTTCATGAATGAATCATGGCCCCAGGGGAGGAGAATCTGGGTCTCTGAAGTAACACTGAAGGGAACCGAGTTAAGAACAGGATGGGGCTGGAGTGAAGTTACCTGGTTTTCTGGATCTGGCTCAGCAGGAAATTCCTCAGAGTCTCATCTTTAAAGTTGTAATTGACCGTCCAGAAGATGTAGAGCTGATACTGTGTGACCAACTCCAGGACCATCCGGAAACCTTCTGCGGTGTCAAAATCCTCCGTCCCACTCCCCTGCTCCCAGGCGTAGACGGCGAGCAGCTCTAAGGCGTACTTTGGGGGCAAAAGGTCCTTTTCCTTCAGTTTCTTTTCACACTGAGGGAAGAATGGGAACATCAGATGACACTGGTGCAAGGAACTGAGTAAGAGTCACATAGAAGCCACAGCAGGGCAACAGAGTCACAGTGCCATGCTGGCAGACTGGCACTCTGTTGCTTGGATGTCTAAACCGTGTAGGTTCACAGGAGTTTAGTTGGCTGCTGGGAAGCAACACACATTGGCTTCTTGGCTGTGCTTGGGCCATGTGTGCCTTCCTAGCTACAGCTTCAGTTCACTAGAAACTCACTGCATGCTGACCCCGGGCGCAGGCATTTACCTACATCATGCCTAATCCTCTCGACAACCCAGGAGTCATGATCTCTACTTTAGATAAAGACTGGAGACCTGGGAAGTGAGTGAGTCTCTCAGGGTCACACCACATCCCTGAGCCCTCTGAGCAGACACACTCTGCCAACTCTGATCTTTTGGAACGAAAACTGCAGAACTCAGTCTCAGGCTTTAGGGAGCAGGACACAGATACAAGATATCTCAGGAAAGGCAGATACTGTGCCTGATGCTCACCATCATGGAGATACCCAGAAACCACCATATGTAAGGTGGTTGTCACAAGCATAGTCAGGCTAACCATGCAGAAAGTCAGCCCCAGTTCCACCTCCCGAGAGACAGTGCTGGCACTGGGCAGCAGATGGTCACACTGGCAACTTATAGACATGCAAGTCCCGGTTTTCACCCACCTTCTACGGGTGAGATAATGAGTTCCCACAGAATTACTTGACCAGTGTGAGGGCAAAATAAACCACATGTGGCAGCTTTGATGGCAAGAGGTGATCTACACATAACCCAAGTGAATGATGAGGGATGGGAACCCCAGAGAGATACCCAGTGGGTAGATTCTGCAAAGGGGCTCAGCCCTCAGCATTGAGACTGGGGTAACGACGCACTTGGTAAGTGCTGGCTTAATGGTGAGAACTTACTGGTAAAAATAATGGCCAGACGGTCAAAACAAGAGCTGTTGTACCTGTCTGTACCAGTGCTTCACCAGGCGAATTAAATTCTTCAGTTTCGTAGGCCGGAGGCGAAGGAAGTTTCGCTGCAGCAGTGCGAAACAGGCAGAAAACTCTCTCCTCGGGATGTTTGAGAATTTATAGAGCTCAATGAGCTCAGCATAGACCTCGGGGCTGGGTGTCTTGTCAGAATTCCACTGACCTAGCATGAGAGAGACAGCAACATTGTATCTTAATAAGTACGGTAAGTAGCAGCTTTCAAAACACTTTTATCAAACATATTTTAATTCTGGGAAACTACTTTGAATGATGTTAGTGCATTTGAATGACTGATGTCTATGATATAGATAGCATCTCCAGAGTAATTAGATCCTTAAAAAGATAAATGGTCTACACGAGTGTAAGTGGTATTATTAAAGATTTTCTAGATCCCCACTGTCTAACACTGTACCAACCAGCCAGTGTGGCCATTTGTACTGAGTCAGTTCAGAGGAATTTAGATTAAAAATTTAGTTCCTCAGTTGCACTAGCCACATTTTGAGCTCTCAGTAGACATCATATACAGACAAAGAGCATTTTCATTATCACAGAAGGACCTTTGGGACAGGGCCAGTCTGGAGTTTGCGAACTATGGCCCCTGGGCTAAATCTGACCCACTGCTTGTTTTTGTAAATAAAGGTTTATTGGAATGCAGCCACACCCACTTGTTAATGTATCACAGGTGACTGCTTTCATGTTACAATGGCAGAGTTGAGTAGCTTTGGCTGATATTCTATGGTCGTCAACTGCAAATATTTGCTCTCCCTCCGGAATCCCCATTCTATGCTGTTATTCCATTTCTGAGAACCAATCAGAGGGAAGGAACTAGAGTCTTGATGATTTTGATTTGGAAAATGCCTGAAGTAGCCTTGGTTCTTTTAATAACCATTATGTATCTGTCACCCACGAGTTGAATTTCTATAGAAGCATGTTGCCCAGGATTGAAAGTGAACACCCAGTATTCTCCTAAATTTTGCTATTTAATTTTGCTATTTAAATTTGCACCTCCTACATTTTGTTATTTAGTTTCCTTTACTATATGTGATGCATTTTATTGGTCTGTGTATTTTGTATGTATGGAATCTCTGTGTACCCCATTCTCGACAGACATTGTGGATAATAAGATGTAGCTCCTGGTGGTACATAAATTGAAGGCAAATTCATTGCCAGCACTACTCTTCTCACAGGGCAGAATACCTGTGGTGTGTGCATGTGCGCACGTGTGTGTGGGTGCCTGTGTATATTAAATGAGACCAAGATCATATGCAGGCATAAAGTATTGTTGCCATTATTATTCTGCTTTTTTGGGGTTCAGTGACCCATGAGTGTTGTAGATTTTCACAACCCGTTACTAAACCACATGGCTTCCAGAAGCTAAGGTCTGGGGAATCTCACCTAGAGCATGAAAGGCAGGCAGTACGTCAAAGTCGACACTTTCATTGAGTTTTCTGGATTTCAGGGAGAAGCTCAGCACCCCAGGAGCCTCCCATTTTGAAATCTTAATCTTGACTTCACACTTCTCCCGCTCATAGGTTTCCAGCTGTTTGTGAATCTCCTTGATAATTTCTAAGCACTTGTTTTTTGAGGAGGTGTAGCTTTCAAGCGAGTCATGGAACACGATGAGGTCGGCATTGAAGCCAGTCTTCAGTGCGGTGCCCTTGGCAATTGAACCTCCCTGGGGGAGAAAGTAAGGTTGAGATGCCACATTTGCTAGACCGAGAACCCCGTGCCCCATGGGCTGGCACCAGACGGGCTAGTGAATAAGGTTTTCAAAGCCAAGTTCTGCATTAGGGTCCAGTGAGAGTTTCATTTTAAAAACTATTAGATAACATGGTTCCAAAGCAATTATTCTTCCACCCTTTACACATAAACTGCAGTGGGCTAGAAACAAGTTACCTGCTTCTCAGGTCAATTTCCTAAAGATTTCACCTGAGCAATATGTAATATGTAGCTTTATTTTTTTTTAATTTTTTGAGTTGGAGTCTCACTCTGTCGCCCAGACTGGAGTGCAGTGGCCGCTCCTGGCCACTGCAACCTCGACCTGCTGGGCTCTGGCGATCCTTCCGCCTCAGCCTTCCAAGTAGCCGAAATTACAGGCATGCGCTACCATGCCTGGCTGAGTTTTTGATTTATTGTAAAGATGAGGTCTCACTGCCCAGGCTGGTCTCGAACCCGCGGACTCAGGCAATCCACTCACCTCAGCCTCCCAAAGGCGCGATATTACAGGCTGAGCCACCGAGCCCGGCTATATGTAGCTTTATTTGCATTTCTGTGACCTGAAAGAAATCAAACTGAATGAAGTTACTATGTTGCAAGTGCTCATCTGATCCTGACGTGTCAGGTCCGGGCATCATTGGATGAGTTTTTAGAATTGAGTTACAGGGGTCAGCCAGCTTTCTGTAAAGGGCCAGACGGTCAATATTTTAGGATTTGGGAGTTACTTGTGTTTCTGCCATGTAGTCTTCTCCATTTCTGAGGGAGAGGTGTGCTCTAGGCAGATCCTCAACTCATCCTTGTTTTAGGCTACTTCATTCACACAGCCCTCTTCATCTCCATCTTCATCTTCAGGAGTTCAGCTTCAGTGGTCCCTCCGGGCTGCAGGACCCTCCTCACAAGCTCTAGGTGGCACCTTCCTCCCCGCCTTGGGAATTTCTTATCTGCTAATGGATGTCTTACTATTCTCTTCTCTTATGTGTCATATACCTTTTCTTTTTTTTTTTTTACCTACTATCATGTTAATAGGGTCTCAGGAAGGAGAGGAGAAAATACACAGGACAAGTGTTCTAGCATCAATCACAAACTCAGTCCTTTTTTTTTTGAGTCTGAGTCTCACTCTGTCACCCAGGCTGAAGTGCAGTCGCATGCTCATGGCTACTGCAGCATCAACTTTCTGGGCCCAGGCGATACTTCTGCCTCAGCCTTTTAAGTAGCTGGAACTACAGATACACCACCATGCCTGGCTAATTTTTAAAATTTATTTTGGAGATGAGGTCTTGCCAAGTTGCTCAGGCTGGTCTTGAACCCCTGGGCTCAGGCAATCCTCTCGTCTCTGCCTCCCAAAGTGCTGAGGTTATAGGCACAAGCCACCATGCCCAGCACAAACTCAGTCTTGTCTTCACTCTAGTGAACTTCAGTGAAGTGGCTTGCTCATTGCTCAGGGCATCTTGTGTTGTTTTCTGGATCCCACCCATGGCATTACGCACACAGCTCTGTTTCTGTATCACTTATGATTTTATGCACATATTACCATTTCCCCCACCCTCTTTCTAGTGCCCATAGGCACAAGTTTATCTGGTTGTATGACCAACAGAGGGAAGCATGTCAGCTGCAGACTTTGAGTCAAGGACAAGAACAACCCAATCCTTCAAATCTTTAGTTCAGCTGCTGGAGCAAATTGGGCCTCCGACATTGAAATGTTGAGTACACACCGAGCTTAGCATCTGCAGAGGGTTGGATACTCCCCCCCCAAGAAAAGTTAAGTCCTGTGGGAACCCTTGGATGTGCCCTTTATTTAGAACAAAGGGTCTTTGCAGATGTAATAAGATAGAGATCTGGAGACAAGATCATTCTGGATTAGGGTGGGCCCCAACATCAGTGACAAATGTCCTTAGAAGAGAAGAGAAGGGGAGAAGACACAGAGAGGAGAAGGTGACTGGATGGGAACGATGTGTCTCTAGGCCCCAAGCACTGAGGATGGCCGACAGTGCCAGGAAGCAAACACAGAATCAAAAGGGGTTGTCAATGGCACAATCTACCAACAGATCTCACTGAAAACCAGTGTCCTAGTCCCCAGACTCTCCAGCTTCCCTTCCTCAAGTTTTGGAATGTAGACGGGTCCTGGAGAGCGACAGTGCCCACAGAGCTCCCTTCCTGTCATACCCTGTGTGATGTCATTCCAGTAAGAGGCAAGAGAAGGGCCAGTGCTTACCTGGATGGTCTGGATCTTGGTGGGTGAATGCTGAAAGCATTTTTCTGTAAGGAACGTACAGATGGCTTCGACAGCAGTGTTGATCTCAGCTAGGAAGGACTTGTGAGGCTGGAGGAAGTCCTCGATGAACTTATCTAGAAGATGACCTGGGGTCATGAAGAGCAGTGCAGGCTGGGGAAAGGCAGAAGACCCTCAGCCCTGAGCAGCTCCTCCCTGGCCATAGGAGGCTTCCATTCCTGCCCACTCTAGGCCCTCTGTCCTACCCCTCCCTCCATCCAACTCTTGTCTTTGGTGCTTTCACTGACCTATCCCAAGAACATACCTGAGAGTTTAGGGTGGTCCCCAGGGCCCCCCCAGAAACAAAAACTCTCCTGGTGGCCCTTCCTCCCCCCAGGAGAGGTCTGGATCCTTCTTCAGACAGGTCTGTGGTTTTTCAAGCTCCAGACTTTTCTGAGATTCCCCTTCCAGTTGGGACATGACCTGGGAATGGCCGGTACTCCTTTCTTTTCCCTACTCCTCAGTCCGTCTTTCGATTTTACTGTTTACTGTGGGTTTATAGCTTTCTGATGGTCACAGGCATTCCTCTTTAAATGTCATGTCAGCGTTTGTCAAATACACTGTGCACAGGTGTATTCATTTCCAGGGCTGCATGCCAAGTTTCCACAAGTGGGTGGGTGGCTTGCAACAACAAAAGTTTATTCTCTCGCTGTCCTGGAGGCCAGGTGTTCAAGGCCAAGGGGTGGACAGGGCTGTGCTCTCTCTGAAGTGAATGCTGGAAGGGTCTGGAGTGGGGAGACTCTGAACTACCCAGATTGGCCCACTGCAGCAACAAAGGGTCCTTGTGACAGGTAGGCAGGTGGTTAGAGTAGGAGAAAGAGGTAGGAGATGGAAGCAGAGGGGCTGGAAGAGGCTATGGCTTAGGAGATGGAAGGAAGAGTCTGAAGCCAGGAAACTGGGTGGCTTGAAGAAGCCTGAAAAGGAAACAGACTTCTCAAAGCCCCAGACACCTGAGGTCAGTCCAGGAAAGCCAGATGAGTGCATGTTGCTTCAAACCACGAAGTTTGGGGAATTTTTTTCAACAGCAATATGGGGAAATGAACACACTATTCTACACATGCTGTGCTTTTGCTGGTGACTCAGACAAGATGGACCCACTCACCTAAAGGTGGGAAGGGGAACTTGGGAGTTGAGGGTCAATCTTGGTTGCTTCCAAATGTTGTGAGTGGACCTCACAGTGCTGAAGACGTGCCCCATTGAAGGCAAGTTAATTGCCATCACTGCCCCTCCCACAGGGCAGAATTTTGTGGTATGTGCAAGTGCATGTGTGTGTGAGTGCATGTGTGTACATGCATCAGGATTACTTGTAATGGGGGTTGTGGGGACCAACTACTTAAGCTCCTAAGAGTTGGGTTTTCTGTTATCTGTGGGTGAATCGCTCCCAAGTCACTATGGCAGAAGTTCTTTGAATCAAGGGGCCATCTCCAGATGCCACCTCCCTCAGAATATATTTACCAGCACTTCCCATGGCTGCACTGGGTTTCCAGTCCCATCCTTGAAGCAGAGAGAGGACAGCCATTCCTTGGCTTCTTTGACCAGAAGATGCCAACACCAACGGTCCCCTCCACCCACGTCACCAGTAGGTTCTGCTGGGTCCAAGATCACAGGCCTAAAGGAGGATTAGAAAGCATTAGGGGATTCCAAAGCCAGTGACTTCTGATTTGGGGCCCATCCTACTCTCATCAACAAAACAATGTGTTCTTACAACTTAGATGTCAGTAAATCAATATACAAGTGTGGTTCAAAGTGATTCCCTAGAATTAAATTAAATTTGTCAAAAATGCTTTGAAAGCTGTAAATTACTATACACATGAAAGCATAATGTAAATGTCTCCTCCATGCGAGATCAACTGAAGGATGAGGAATAAGTTGATCAAATGGGATGTGGCCAGCAACCCATGGTGGGTAACCCATGGTATCCAGTCCTCTGTTGCTTCTCTATTCTTTCTCAACGCTTCTTTGTTTTCCCTCTTTCCTCTGGCTTCCATTGTCTTTGTCTCTGTTGGTGGCCTTGAGTGGCTGCACTAAGGTTTCTTACTGTTCTTTTTTTTTTTGAGTCTGTGTCCCACTCTATAATCCGGGCTGGAGTGCAGTGGCATGATCACAGCTCCCTGTAGCCTTGACTTCCTGGGCTCAGGCGATGCTTCTGCCTCAGCCTCCTGAGTAGCTGGTAATGCAGGCAGGTGCAAATACCTGGAAATTCTCCTGTCTCGTCCTCCCAAAGTGCTGGGATCATTGGCATGAGTCACTGCGCTTGACCTCCTTACTATTCTTGAAGGCCTAAAAAAGTAGATAAACCCTAATCTAATAAGCATCTTGCAGGACAAATTGGCTCCTGAATGATTAATTCTCAGGGACACACTTTCAATTCAAATACTTCTTACACCTGCTAACACACGTGTTTCTTTTTGGCATAGAAAGATGAAAGCAACTCAGGACTTTGTGCTTCTGTCCCTCCTCCCCTCTTTCTTCTGGACAGCATGTCTCCTGCTACCCTAGGATCTTATTTCTGGTGACTGAGAGGCTCTGATGGCTAGCACTACCCTCCCCGCCTCCTTTTTTTTTTTTTTTACCAGGAATGAATCACGACCCAGGGGAAAGAGAATCCCGGTCTCTGAAGTAGCACTGAGAGGAATCAGGTCAAGAACAAGACGGGGCTGGGGTGAGGTCACCTGGTTTTCTGGATCCGGCTCAGCAGGAAATACTTCAGAGTCTCATCTTCAAAGTTGTAATTGACTGTCCAGAGAATGCAGAGTTGCTGATACTGTGTGACCAACTCCAGGACCGTCCGGAAACCTTCCGCGGTGTCAAAATCCTCCTTCTTACTCCCCTGCTCCCAGGCATAGACAGTGAGCAGCTCCAAGGCATACTTTGGGGGCAAAGAGCCCTTTTTCTTCAGTTTCTTTTCACACTGAGGAAAAAGTGGGAACATCAGATGACACTGGGGCAAGGAACTCAGTGGGAGTCACACAGCAGCCATAGTAGGGAAACCGAGCAGCTTGGGTATCTAAACCATGTAAGTTTACAGGAGTTGGCCACTGGGAAGCAGCACACATGGGTTTCTCGGCTGTGCTTGGGCCATGGGTGCCTTCCTAGGATCATGATTCAGCTACGGTTCACTAGAAACTCACTACATGCTGACTCTGGGACCAGGAATCTTACCTATATTATGCCTAATTCTCCCAATAACCCAGGAGTCATGACCTCCACTTTAGATAAAGACTGGAGGCCTGGAGAAGTGAGTGACTCGCTCAGGGTCACACCACATCCCTGGGCCCTCTGAGCAGACACACTCTGCCAACTCTGATCTTCCGGAATGAAAATTGCAGAGCTCAGTCTCAGTCTCAGGCTTTAGGGAGCAGGAGACAGAAACAAGACATCTCAGGAAGGGCTGATACTGTGCCTGATGTTTGCCATCCTGGAGATACCCAGAAACCACCTTGTGTGCAAGGCAGTTGACACAAACATAGGCAGGCTAACCATGCAGAAAGTCAACACCAGTTCCCCCAATACCTTCAACCTGCCAACCCAAGAGACAGTGCCTGCACTGGGCAGCAGATGGCTATGCAGGCAACTTGTAAACATGCAAGTCCCAGCTTCTACTCACTCTCCAGGCAGGATAATTTGGATTCCTACAGAATTACTTGGCCAGTGCGAGGGCAAAATCAACCACGTGTAGCAGCTTTGATGGCAAGAGGTGACCTACACAGGACTCAAATGAATGGGATGAGGGATGGGAACCCCACAAGATACTCAGTGGGCAGATTCCCTAGAGGCACTCAGCCCTTTGCATGGGAGAGTGGGGGCAAACTTACTGGTAAAAATTATAACTAGATGGTCAGAAAAAGGACTGTCATACCTGTTTGTACCAGTGCTTCACCAGGCGAATTAAATCCTTCAGTTTGGTAGGCCGGGGGCGAATGAAGTTTCGCTGTAGCACGGTGAAACAGGTGGAAAACTCTCCCCCCAGGATTTCTGAGGATTTATAGAGCTCAATGAGCTCATCATAAACCGTGCCTCTGCGTGTTACGCCAGAATTCCACTTAGCTAGCGTGAGGGAGACAGCAACATTATTCCTTAGTAAGTACAGTAAGTCAAAGATTTCACTTTTGACAAATATAATTTAATTCTGGGAAACCACTTTGAATGACTGCTGTCTATGAGACAGAGAGCATCTCCCGAGTCATGAGATCTTTAAAAAGTTTTATGTTCTACACGAGGGCAGGTGGCATTATTAAAGTATTTTCTAGACCCGCAGTGTCAACATAGTAGCCACCAGCCAATGTGGCTATTTGTACTCAATTAAAATAAAATTAAATTAAAAATTTAGTTTCTCAGTTGCACTAACCACAGGTTGAGCTCTCAGTAAATATAGAATACAGATATAGAGCATTTTCATTATCACACAAAGACCTTTGGGACAGGGCCAGTCTGGAGTTTGCAAACTATACCCCCTGGGTAAATGTGGCCCACTGCTTGTTTTTGTAAATAAAGTTTTCCTGTAATGCAGCCACACCCGTTTGTTAATGTATTGCAATTGGCTGCTTTCATGTTGCAAGGCAGAGAGTTGAGTAGTTGTGGCAGATGTTGTATGGTCCTCAAAGCTGAAAATATTTGCTATCTTGCCTTTTACCAAAAAAGCTTGCCTACCTCCATTCTATACTGTTGTTACCTTTCTGAGAACCATTTAGAGCAGGGGTCCTCAAACTTTTAAAACAGGGGGCCAGTTCACTGTTCCTCAGACCATCGGAGGGGCGGACTATAGTTTAAAAAAAAAAAGGAATTTGTTCATAGTTTTTTTTTTTAAACTATAGTCCGCCCCTCCAATGATCTGAGGGACAGTGAACTGGCTCCCTGTTTTAAAAGTTTGAGGACCTCTGGTTTAGAGGAAGGTACTAGAGTCTTGGTGGTTTTGATTTGGAAAATGCCTGAAGTAGCCTTGGTTTCTTTCAATATACCACTCTGTATCTGTCCCCCATGAGTTGAATTTCTTTTTTTTTTTTTTGAGGTGGAGTCTCACTCCATTGCCCAGACTGGAGTGCAGTGGCTGCTCCTGGCCACTGCAGCCTTGACCTGCTGGGTTCCGGTAATCCTTCCTCCTCAGCCTTCCAAGTAACTGGAACTACAGGCGTGCTACCACGCCTGGCTAATTTTTTTAAAATTTATTTATTGTAGAGACAAGGTGTCATCAAGTTGCCCGGGTCTCGAACCTGCAGGCTCAGGCAATCCACTCACCTCAGCCTCCCAAAGTGCTGGGATTACAGGCTGAGCCACGAAGCCCAGCCGAGTTGAATTTCTAAAGGAGATTTTTGCCCAGATTGAAGGTGAACACCCAGATTTCCTGCATCTCCGACAATTTGTTATTTAATTTCCCTCACCATATTTGAGGCATTTTATCTGCCTGTGTATTTGATGTATATGGAACCCTGTGTACCCCATTCTTGGACAGACATTTTAATGTAGCTCCCAGTGTCTTTGGGACACGTAAATGGGAAATGAGACCGGATTGTACATAGGCATAAAGTGTAACTGCCATGATTACTGCTGCTGTCTTGGGGGTACTGACCAGTGATTGTTATAGATTTTCATAACCCATTTCGAAGTCACGAGGCTTCCAGAAGCTAAGGTCTGGGGAATCTCACCTAGAGCATCAAAGGCAGGCAGCACATCGACGTCGACACTTTCGTTGAGTATTGTGGATTTCAGGGAAAAGCTCAGCACTCTAGGAGACTTCCATTTTGAAATCTTAAACTCGATGTCATACTTCTTCCATGGATAGGCTTTCAGCTGTCTGTGAATCTCCTTGATTATTTCATAGCGCTGGTTTTTTTGGGAGGTGTAGCTTTTAAGCGAATTGTGGAACACGACGAGGTCGGCGTCAGAGCTTGTCTTCAGTGCAGTGCCCTTGGCGACTGATCCTCCCTGGGGGAGAAAGAAAGGTTGAGATGCAGCATTTGCTAGACTGAGAGCCCTGTGCCTCCATGGGCTGGCACCAGGCAGGCTAGTGAATAAGGTTTCCAAGGTTACATTCTGCATTAGAGTCCAGTGAGGACAGAGTCCAAAGTGTGACAGAGAGGGGGCTGATAGCAGTTAAAAGTATTCCTTTTTAAAATCCATTGGCAAGCTCTGAAAACCCACCAGACCAGTTTTGCTTGAGAAAACCAAATAGCCAAAGACTGACAGCTTTCATGGAAATGCAAAAGAGTGACCAATTCACAAACTTACCCACCTTCTCTCTTTTTTAAGTTATCAGTTTACAACCCCTACTTGCTCTGCATTTCCTGGAGACCATTTATTCTTTGAAAATCTGATTTTGCTGAGTACAACCTTGTAAATTCCAAAGAAAATGTGTAATCGCTCAACACGACCCCCCCCTTACCTAAACTTAGGTATAAGACTCTCCCCTCTCTCCCCGGGGTGCTCAGCCTTAGAGTATTAGCTCGCTGAATCTGTGCTGGTACAAATAAATATGCTACTTCCTAAAACAGCCTCAGTGTCACGGCTGTGTTCCCACTACAAAAGCAGAGGGTTTCATTTTAGAAACTATTAGATAATACAGTTCCAAAGGCAATTATTCTTCTGTCCTTTGCATATAAACACTGATGGGCTAGTTACAAGTTACCTGATTCTCAGTTTCCTAAAGGTGTCTCCTAAAGAGATGCTTAGCTCTATCTGGATTCTTGTGACCTAAAAGAAATCAAACTGGTTGCAGTTACTGTGGTGCAAGTGTTCATCTGATCCTGATGTGTCAGGTTCCTCCTGCAGCCTAGGGATCATTGGATGAGTTCTCAGGACTGAGGTACAGGGATCTGCCCGCTTTCTGTAAAGGGCCAGACAGTCAATATTTTAGGCTCTGTGGGCTACCTGTGTCTCTGCCATGCAGTCGTCTCCATTCCCTCCCTCCTGCATCCTTTTTTCCCTTCCTTTTCTCCTCCTTTCTCCACCCCTCCTGCTTCTCTTCTTTCTCCTCCTCTTCCCCTCCTCCTTTTCTTCCTCCTCCTCCTCTTCTTCCCCACCCCATCCTTCTCCTCTTCCACCTGCTCCTCCTCTTCCTCTTCCTGCTCCTTTACCTTCTCCTCTCCCTCTCTTCCTCCTCTGCCATTCAGTTTTTGCACAGAAAATAGTTATCCACAGGTGTAAATGCCTGGCTACACAGGTGAGGGAGGTGTGCTCTGTTTCCCATATGCAGGTGCTCAACTCATCCCTGTTCCAGCCCACTCCATTCCTCTTTCTTTTCTTCTTCATCTTCAGGCATTGGGCTTCAATGGCCCCTCTGGGACTGCAGGCCTCTCTTCATAAGCTCTAGGTGTCACCTTGCCCCTTACCTGGGATATTTCTGTCTGTTGATGGTTCTCTTTCTATTCTCTTCTTTGATGTGTCATATGCATTTTTTTTCCTACCTACTATCATCTAACAGGGTCTCAGGAAGGAGAGGAGGAAATACACAGGTCAACAGTTTTAGTGTTGATCACAAACTCAGTCTTGTCTTCACTCCAGTGAACTTCAGTGAGGTGGCTTGCTCTTGGCTCCGGGCATTTTGTGCTGTTTCCCGGTTCCCTCCCAGGGCAGCATGAAACTGCTCTGTTTCTGCATCACTGCAGATGTTTATACACATATTACCGCCTTCTCCCCTCCCTTCTAATGACCATGGGCACATGTTTATCTGGTTGTGTGACCATAGAGGGAAGCATGTTAGCCATGGCCTTTGAGCCATAGATAAAAAAATCCAATCCTCTGAATCTTTAGCTCGCCTGATGGAGAAAATTGGGTCTCAGACATTGAAATGCAGAATACACACCGAGTTTAGCATCTGCAGATGGTTGGACATCCTCCATCCCAAAAGTTATGAACTGTGGGATCCTGTGGATGTGCCTTTATTTGGAACAAAGGGTCTTTGCAGATGTAATTAAGATAAGGATCTGCAGATGAGATCATTCTGTATTCCGTATTTGGGCCCTGAATCCAATGACAAATGTCCTTAGAAGAGAAGAGATGGGGAGAAGACACAGAGGAGAAGGTGACCTGATGGCAGAGGCAGAGATGGGAGTGGTGTGTCTTCAGGCCCCAAGCACCGAGGATGACCAGCAGTGCCCAGAGACAAACACAAAATAAAAAGTATATTGTCAATGGAACAGACAGTCTATCCCCAGCCCCTACTGAAAACCAGTGTCCTAATCCCCAAACTCCCCCTCTTTCCTTCTCTAGTTTCAGAATAGGTAGATAGGCCCTGGAGAGCGGCGGTGTCCATAGAACACCCTTCTGGTCATATCTCATGTGACATCATTCCAGTAAGAGGCAAGAGAAGGGCTAGTGCTCACCTGGAAGACCTGGATGCTGGTGGATGAATCTTGAAAGCATTCTTCTGTAAGGAATAAGCAGATGGCATCAATAGCCTCGTGGATCTGATTTAGAAAGGTTTTGTTAGGCTGGAGGAAATCCTTGATGAACTTATCTAGAAGATGACCTGGGGTCTTGAAGAGTGGTGCAGGCTGGGGAGAGGCAGAAGACCTTTAGCCCTGAGCAGCTCCTCCCTGATCACAGGAGGCTTTATTCCTGCCTTCTCTGGGCCCTCTGCCCTGCCTCTCCCCCCATCTATCCCTTGGGGCCAGCACCTCCCATCCTTGTTCCTTACACTGACCCCAAGAACATATCTGAGAGTTTTGGGTGATCCCTAGAAACAAAAACTCTCGTAGTTGTCCCTCCTCCTCCCTGAGTTCTGGATCTCTCCAGACAGGTAACTGTGTTCCCCTTCTGGTTGGGGCATCACCTGGGAACAGCCGGTCCTCTTTTCCTTTCTCTGCTCCTTGATCCTTCCTTAGTTTCCTGTTTACTGAGGGTTTACAGATTTCTGATGGTCACAGCCATTCCTTTTTAAAGGTCATATCAACTTTTGTCAAACACTCTGACACAGGTGTATTAATTTCCAGGGCTGCATGCCAAGTTATCACATGTGAGTGGCTTACAACAACAGAAGTTTATTCTCTTGCTCTCCTAGAAGTCAGGTATTCAAGGCCAAGGTGTGGACAGGGCTGTGCTCCCTCTGGAGTAGATGCTGGAAGTGTCTGGAATGGGGAGATTCTGTGCTACCCAGATTGGACCAATGCAGTGACAAGAGTCTTTGTGACAGGCAGGCAGGTGGTCAGAGTTGGAAAAGGGGATGGGAGACAGAAGTGGAGGGCCTGGAAGAGGCTGTGGCTTTGGAGACAGAGGGAGGGACCACCAACCAAGGAATCTGGGTGGCCAGGAGAAGCTTGAAAAGCCAAGGAAACATGGACTCCTAAGAGCCCTGGACACCTGAGGTCAGCCTAGGGAGACCAGTTTCAGAATCCTTACCTCCAGAGCTCTTAGATGATGAGTTCATGTTGCTTCAAGTCACGAATCTTGGGGAATTTTTTTTAGCAGCAGTAAGGGGAAATGACCTAAATTGTGTCAATAGCTGTAGAGAGACACTTAGCCTCATAGTTCTGGAAACAGAGATTGATGGGGGTAGCAAAACAAAAATAGCCAAGTGGAAAACAAAAGATGGTGTAGGTGTGGCAGGGAGGGGGTTGGTTAAAAGTATTCCTTTTGAAAATCAATTGACAAACTCTGAAAACCCACCAGACCAGTTTTGTTTGAGAAAAACCAAATAGCCAAGGACTAATGGCTTTCATGGAAATGCAAAAGGTAACTAATTCACAGACTTATCCAAAACCCTCTTTTGAAGTTGACGGTTTACAATCCCACTCACCCTGCATTTCCTGGAGATCATTTTTCTTTGAAAGATCTGATTTTGCTGAGTACAACCTTGTAAATTCCAAAGAAAATGTGTAACCCTCAACATGACCCCCCTCCCTTACCTAAACAAAGGTATAAGATCCCTCTTCTCCTGTTCTGGGGGGCTTGACCTGGAAGCATTAGCCTGTCGAGTCCGCCGGCGTAATAAAGTTGCCACTTCCTATAATAGTCTCGGTGTCACGGCCTCTCTGTCTTCCCGCTACATAGGAGAGGCATGGAACCAAATGCCCCATGTGCCCTTGGGTTGCCAAAGGATGTCTTAGGAAGGACATTCTTGGGATGCTTACTAATGTAGTCAGACAATAATATATGAATCCTAATGCCCCGCACTTGACCACTGTCAATGGGATATAGTTAAGATGCAGCCATTAAGGTGGGCCTGGTTCAATATAACTGTTGTTCTTATAAGAAGAGGAGGCAAGGAGACAGACATACATGGAGGAAGACTGTGTGGAGACACAGGGGGAAGTCACAAGCCAGGGACTGCCAGCAACCACCGGAAGCTGAAGCGGCAGGGAAGGATCCTCCCCAGAGTCGAAAGAGAGCACGGCCCTGCCCACACCTCATTGTGGACTTGTAATATCCAGATCAGGGAGAGGACGTGTTTCTGTTGTCTTAAGTCAGCTTGTGGTACTTTGTGACAGCGGTCACAGGAGACTAATGCTTGGTACTCTCAAGGGAGACTCAGGCTGGGTGTTGGGGCCCCTCCCTGCAGCATGAGAGACTGAGTGTGGAAAACCCTCTCACCAGCACATCCCAAGATGGCAACGGCAGCTTGTTGCTCAGGCTGGGAGACATCAGCCAGTTCTGAGCTTCCTCTTTCAGCAGTTTCCAGCATTGCCCATCTCCAGTGAATTTATTGGTTGGGTCGGTTGGATCCAAGATCATAGGCCTGTGTGTTCCATTAGATTACAAAGATCAGCTGCTTGTGGGAGAAGAAATCAGTTTTGGGGAAAGAGGTCTCAGGGAGAGTCTGGTGACTTGGATCTGGATTCCTGTAACTCTCCATGCTGCCAAGGGCCTTTGTCCACGACATGTACCCCACTGGTCCTGCATTTTCTGCTTTACAGGGATGCTCATTAATAAAATAACAAGGTCAGCTCCTCTTCCTGCCAACCCATGTTCCTCTCTTAATCCCTTCTTTCTGTAAGGGGTTGGGAATGTGAAAAGTGTCAACCGGCCTCCCCTCCCCCAGGCAGAACCCTCTGCCTCTCACCTCAGTGGCCACTGTTTTGCTGGGACACCACTAGCTGGGCAGGACAGTACTGAGACCTCATTCCCAGGGGGAACCACCTGATGTTCAGATGAAGGGGTGCATGGACAGGGCGTGGGGAGCTTGGCACCTTTCTGATCGGAGCTGTTTCAGCAGGATGTTGCGGACGGTCTCATCCTCAAAGTTGAAGTAGACCGTCCAGTAGATGCACAGCTGGTCCTTCTGCTTGATCAGAACCAGAACGGTTCTGATGCCCTCAGAGATGTCAAAGTCTTCTTCTCCACATCCCTGTTCCCAGGTGTACACTGTGAGCAATTCCAGGGCATATGGAGGCAGCCAGGATAACTCGGGTCATTTCCCCTGGCACTGTGAGAGAAGACAGAGTCAGCAGCGAATTTGGGGATCTGGTTTTTGCATGTCTGAGGTCTGAAATAAAAAATCCAGAAGTCTACAGGAAGTCACTGTCCCCCACCAGAAGGCCTAAAGTCAGTGAACTGGCAACACCAAGAGCTGGCAAAGATGGGGAGCACCTGAGACGGAGCAGGTCCCCCCTTAGGGGCCAGTGGGGCTCCCAAGCATGGACATTGAGGGTAATCCTGAGTTCCTTCAAGAGAAATTCCAGGCACTCTACTTGCCTTTAAAGTAAATGAGCAACTTGACAAGCAAAAAGATAATAATAACTTAAAACAATAGCCAGGGAAGTGAGAGTCAGGAGACGTGTTGTTCCCTATAAAAACTACAGATGGCAACTTAACATATTGAGTTATTTCCAGAAATCCAGACTCCTGCCAAATGGATCTGCTGGTGCATAGAACTCAGATAGGGGGAAGCAGAGGCCTGAGCTCTGACCATCATTCTTTGCTTTAAATTTTGCCCCGAGGGATGTGGAGGAGGTCATGCCCTCGGTTAGAGCTCACAATCTCTTCCACAGACTTCAAATTTTTAGATGCAGCTTCATCTCCTTAATCAACTGCAACTCAGAAATTATTTGAATCCACCTGTGGTCTGTGACCCCTTAGAGATGTACCACCTTTTTGGTCAAGCCAATGTAGCCTCTAGGTGCTGATATATGACTTTGCCTGGGGACCCTGCATCCCATCTTTAAACACCCATACCTGTGTGCCAACTGAGAGCTCGATTCTTAAGCGTGAGCTGTCCGATTCCCCTTGCTTGGAGCCCTGCAAAAAGTGCCTCACTTTCTCTCACTGCAAATACCAACGTCAGCATTTGGCTTTGCTCGGCCTGGTGAGTGGACCTCAGTTTGGTTCAGTAACACAACTAAAGTACACACTCTGCTGGTGGGAGTATGATTTGGTATGAACGTTTTGGGAAATGATTTGACAATATTTACTACAGTTAAACCAAGTAGCTTGCATATATGTATATTCTAAATATTTACACATGTATACACACATAGCATTTACCTCCATGTCCTATATAACCCAGCAATTCCACTACTGCATATTTACTCAAGAAATGAATGTCAAGTTCACCAAAAGACATGTAGGAGAGTACCCATAGTAACCTCATTAATATGAGTCCCATTTTGGAAATGACCTGAACATCCATCAGCAGTAGAGTGGATACATGTGTGGTGTATGCATGCAATGGCATACTACAAAACAATGAAAAACTACAACAACATGCAACAACATGATTGAGACTCTCAGACATATGGGGAGAGATCCCCCTCAAAATACTGGAATTCTTTTTTAGGGGGTGAGCCCCTTGTAGTACAGGCTTCCCTCACTAGGTAAGTCTTCTGGGAACCCACTGGCATGAGTGTGCTAGTTAGTGTTGTTGTGAGAGGGTGTGTTCAGCTTCAATGATTTTTTTTTTGGAGATTCTTTCAACATGCTTGCCCATTTCATTATGGGTGATTTATAAGCATACTGCCCATACCATGCTGAGTGTTCTGCATTTTTTTCACCCAAAACAGCATGACTCCTGTGCCCCACCCTCCCTATTTGCCCAATCTCACACCAAGTGCCTATTTTTGTTTCCCCCATGAAAAAAGTCCTCAAAGGGAAACATTTTGCTGTTGCGGAGGAGGTGAAACCAAAAAATGACAGAAGCACTAAAAGGCATCAAGATTGATGAGTTCAAACACTGCTTTGAGCTGTAGAAAAAGTGTCTTGATAGGTGTATTGCACCAAATAGAGTACTTTGAAGGTGACTGAAGTTTAAACATGTAGAATGAATGCACAATTTTTTATAACTAAATGCTAAGTTTTTTTGGTTCCCCCCTGTAATGTTGGGCAAAAGAAGGCAGACACAGTTCAATCCCACTTATATCACTTAAAAACTAGTAAAACTAGTCTGTGATGACAGATGTTCTAATAGGGGTATGTTTGGGGGACTTCTTGGGGCAGTGTGCTTGAGACACCTTCTAGGGTGCAGGAAACATTCTCTGTCTTGATATGGATGTTGCTGATAAGGATATAAACAATGCATTGAGCTGCATACCTCGGGTTATTACATTTTACTGGAAGTCAGTTATTGCAACAAAAAGAAAACGAATGACAATGATATATACACACCATTGGATTATTACCTGTTGATACCAGTGCTTTACCAAGAGGATCAAATCCTTCAGTTTTCTGGGGAGGTTGCTAAAGAACTTCTGCTGGAGTTCGGTGAAGCAGACGGCAAACTCACTAGGGATGGCTTTTGTCTTATCCAAGGAACTTTTGAGATCTCGGTAGACTCGGGGGCTGGGATTCTCACCAGGGTCTGATATGAAAGAGTAACAGGAATTAGGTGATTTATGTAACCCGTTCTCAGAGAATCAGGGTTGCTCAACCACAAAGCTCAGCTGTACTGACAACATACAGCCATTGCTTCATCTGTTAGTGGGCTTGTGTGTTTACATAAAACATGATGGGGAAGGGCAGCTTGGCGCACCAGATAATAACATGTGGTCTAAAATGATTATCATGATAGAGATATGGTGTTTATAGGTCAGCAGAACCAAAGGGAGGGTTGAGAAGTGCAATTATAAATGAGAAGGGGGATACAGGTACTCCAAACTAGTAGGGAAATGGTGGGTTCTTTAAATAATTTTTGGCATTGGCAGAAGCATACACATGGAAGAAAACAAATCTGAAATATCACTTAGTGTTTACTCCTCTATTGAGTTCATCTGTTGAATATTCTGTTTCAGAACAGGGATGTTGACGAAGCAGGTAGGAAGGAGCAGGGGTCTGGAGGCCTGGGGAGGGAGGCCAGTTTCATCAAAGGATTCCCTTCCTCACTAGCTGAGGTCCACTGTTTATAAACACATTTAGATAAACAACCAGTAGAGAACAGCCAGCTTGTTCCTTTCATATACTCCCACAGATATTTATTGAACCCCTATTGTGTTTCTAGCTACTCACTGAATAATCCTTCTCCATCATGATAATAGTATAGCTAACATTTATTGTTTACTCTATGCCAGGCACCTTTTACATTCACAGAAACATCCAAGTATCACAAAACTCTTATGTGGCCAGCACAGTTGCAACTGCTGATTTACAGATGAGGAGATGGATACACCAGGAAGCCAAGCAAACAGATACTTCCTGCTTTGGGGCAAATGCCCTGGGGAGAGTGGTAGTGTACTCAGTAGTGGAATTAGAAGCAGAATTGATGGGAGCCGGCCTGAACCTAGTGTAAAATGTAGGCCAGATTAGCTAAGATAACATTTAGTTTTTTCAAAAAAGTAAGTAATTTATGAGTTTGCCCTGCCTCCAGGTTACTTTTCTCAGAAAGCAACCCTTAGGTTTCCTTGTAAAAAAAAAAGATCTTAGTTTGGAACGTGCAGCTCTACCACCAACAAGTGGCAGATTATGGGTACAATATGTGAAGAAGAGCTTCTTTTTCATTCTCACACTATCCTTGCATGATGGGGTGAATCCAGTGGAGGGTGTTCTGGTCTTGGCTCCAACCTCAGCACTTTGAGTAAGAGTACACACAATGTCTTATAAGAATTCTGAGCTTCATGTCTTTTTCTACCTTGACCTCACCTTGTTTGAGGCAGGCCCACTCCCACAATTTTGATAGTCCCAATTGCCCTGGAAGCTAGTTTCCAGTCTGATTGTACAGTTGGCAAGCATGGTAAGTAGTGGGGCCAGAATAAGGACTCAGGGCTGCTAACTTCCCAAACTGGTGCACTTGTCTTGGAATCAGGCCTCATTTCTGTGAATGAGAGTCATCACGGTGTGTGTATGTCTCTACCTTGTGATTGATGGTTGGGCTAATTGCTCCTGAATACATACATTCCTTAAAACTATAGGCAGTGGAAGGCACTCTGGTCTGGAACCTAGTGAACTTGGGCTTTTGTTCTAGTTCTGTGAATCACCGGCTGGGTGGCATTTTTTTCTTTCTGTTTCTCCATTTGTTTGGTGATTGGTTGAATTCCAGCTCTGGAATTTTTTATGTTTGTAATTATGTGTGTATCTGTTCTTGAGACTATGCTGAATCTAACCTATCCATCCACCCATGCACCAATACATTTAAGGAATCATCCATCCATCCATTTATCCATAATGATCCATTTATCCATCCAGCAACTATTATTGATAATGAACATTGTACTATACACTGGAGAAGAACAAGACACTCATGCTACCTGTCATCATGAATCTTACAGTCTAGGAGAGGAGAAAGCTTAACAAATTATTTCCATAAATCTGATTCTAAAGCACAGATTTCTTCTGGAGCATGTAGAAGGTGGCTCTAACCCAGATGTGGGGAAACACAAGACTTAAATGATGAGTTGGAGTTACCCAAGAATAAAAAACTGGGGAAAGAATGTTTCAAGCAAAGGAACAGCATAGACCAAAGTCTCAGGTTGAACAAGCAAGGTAGGTTTGAGAAGGTCTATGAAATCAGAGTAGCTGGTGCATAGAGTTAGATGGTGATGAGTGGTTCAGTTTGAGAAGTAAGTAAATTCAGTGAAGAGCCATTTGATGGTTTAACACAGGGTATGTGACAAAACCATACTTGTGCTGGGAAGTAGGGCATCCAGCTGCCGCAGCAATGAGAGAGAAGGCAGGGAGACAGGCAGGAAGACAGAAGGGCATTGCCATATCTTCGATGGTGGCCTTGATTAGGGAAGTGGCACTGGGGAGAGAAATGAAGCAGATTTAAGAGCAAGTTAGGCATAACTGTCAGGACTTAGTGATGGGCTGTGGGTGAGGTGACGGGGAGTCGGAGATACAACCCTGTCTTAGGTGATAGACAGAAGACCTGGGAGGTGGGGCATGTCCTAAAGAAATAGGAGTTGGGTTTGAGGAGCCCCTCATCTCTGGTAGACAGTCATCTGTGAAAGGTTGTTGCCTTGATGGGACCTGGTAGGCAGGCAGACTTCAAAGCTTGCTCCACCTGAACTTTCCCCAGTTGTTTGCCTTATCCTCTTTCTCTAACCAACGTTGACTCTAGTTGAACTCTCAGATGTGATCTATGAACCATCATCATCATGGAGCTGATTAAAAATATGGAATCCTGGCCATACTTAGTAGCTCATGCTTGTAATCTTAGCACTTTGGGAAACCAAGGTGGGAGAATTGCTTGAGTCTACTAAGAGTTCAAGACCAGCTTGGGCAACATAGCAAGACCCTCAGCTCTACAAAAAAATAAAAATATAAAAATGAGCCAGACATGATGTCTTACATTTGTAATCCCAGAACTTTGGAGGCTGAGACAGGAGGATTCCTTGAGGCAAGAAGCTCAAGACCAGTCTGGGCAACAAAGTGAGACTGCCCCCAATAACAACAACAATAAAACAAATTCAGAAGCCTAAGCTCTGACCCATACCTCCTGCATTTTAACAGGGTTCCAAGTGATTTATGTGCACATTACAGTTTGAAACGCTCTGCTTTAGATTCTTGAATCTAGAATATTTTCTCCAAAGCGTATCAGAATGTGGCGAGAAATTCCAGAAATGCGAGTAAGTGCAGGGTAGGGAACTTTCTTCTCTACTGAGGGGCTATAGTCTCTCATTTTGAAAAGTACCAGTAATATCTATCCCACCCACATCTGAGAGGTTCCACATGACTGTCAGGTACCTTCTTCTTTGACTTTTCTCCCCCCAGCCTCAAGAGTGCTCACCTAGAGCATCGAAGGCAGTCAGCACCTTGAAAGAGATTCTTTGATGTTTTGTAAACACCTGAAGAGTAAGCCCATCTTGGGTCTTCTGGATCTGGGTCTTCTTTTCCAGTCCCTTTGTGAGCAGATGGCATTCCAGCTCTTTCCTAATTTTAATGAAGATTTCATGTTGGTTTTTCTTCTGATCCTGGAATTGTTGGAAGTCACTGAGGAAGAGGACGAGGGTACCATCGGAGTTGCCTCTCAAGACTGCTTCCCGACCGTAGGAGCCACCCTGTTGTCGACAGAGGAGCAGATGTGAGACCTGAACTTTCTGGGGATCACAGATTACTCAAGGGAAAGCCAAAAAAGTCACCATGGTCTTAAAATTGAGTGACAGGCACCCATCTGTCCACCCAAAGACCCAATCGGGGTGCTGATAGCAGCACTTTCATGCAAACCCCAAACTGGAGACAAGGCAAAAGGTCATTGAAAATAGGATGGGATCGACCCCACCTGCCACCACTAGTGGCTGATCTTGTTGTCCTGAGGCCTGAGGATAGGATTGCCGCATCTGCCATTGCTGCCAGTGCCTGTATATGTCATCTGAGGGCCTGGAGATCAACCTGCCTCACCTGTTGCCAGAACATGTATGCACCATGGGTGTGCCTGAGGAAAGACCCATCTCACCTGCCACCAGCACCCATGTGTACTGTCTGGGGGCCTGGGGATAGGTCCCTCCTGCCCACAGCCACCAGCACATGCGTGTGCCTTCAAGGGACCTATGGACAAGCCCTACACTCCACCTGCACTGATGCTTACACATGTCTTTCGAGGGTCTAGGCACCTATCTACCCAGTCTGCCATCACTGATGCCTTTGCACACTGCTTGAGGGCCTGTCACTGCACTGCCACCACCAATGTCAAACACACCACCTGGGGGCTCAAGAACCTGCCTACTCAGCCTACTCCTACCAATACTGACACTCGAGCATGCCGCTTGAGGTCTGAGACCTGGCCTACCTGCTCTGTCAGCACTGGTGTCCACATATACTGTCTGGCGGCCTAAGGACCAGCATGTCTGGCACACTGCTGCTACTGCTGGTGCCCAAGGACCATCCTGCCTGGTGTTCTCATCCCCAACAAAGCCTCACCCCAGCCTCCACTAACAATTGCAGGCTAAGCCACTTAGGAACTCACAGATACCATTGATGCTAACTACAATGAAAACATCATATGGAGACTACACTACTGTGCACAGCTAGAATCAACACCAAAGCGCCTATTCAACCAACACTATTAGTGCATCCACAGGAAAAAGTCTTTTAAAATTATATTATTTGTTTATTAAGAGACATGATCTCACTCTGTCACTCAAGCTGGTATGCAGTAGTATAATCATAGCTCGCTGTAGCCACTAACTCCTGTGCTCAAGTGATCCTCCTGCTTCAGCCTCATGGGTAGCTAGGACTACAGGTGTGTGCCACCATGCCCAGCTAATTTTTTAAACATGTTTTTTAGACTGTGTTGCCCAGGCTGGTCTTGAACACATGACCTCAGGCGATTTTCCTGCCTTAGACTCTTGAGTTGCTGGGATTACAGTCATGAGCCAATGTGCCCAGCAGGGGAAAATGCCTTTCCCTTTGAAATCTAGTCCAGAAAATTGGAAGCAGCAACTGTTACACCAGAGGTGCAGGGCACAGAAACATGAAAAAGCAAGAAAATATGAAACCTTCAAAGGCAAACAGTTATTTCTCAGTACCAAAGAAAAGGAAACCTATGAAATGCCCGAAGAAAAAAATAATGATATTAAAGAAACTCAGTGAAATGCAAGAGAACACAGATAAATAATACAAAGAAATCAGGAAGCAATTCATGATCTTAATGAAAAATTCAACAGAGATAGATATAAAAACAAACCAAAGACAGCAGAGAATTCAAGAAATAAAATAAAAATACAACCAAGAACTTCAATAACAGACCTGATCAAGCAGAAGGAGAAATTTCTGAACTTGAAAACAGATATTTTGAAAAACCCAGTCAGATAAATTAAAAAAAGAAAAGAAAAGAAAAGAAAATGAATGAAAAAAGTCTATGCAACATGTAGGTCATCATGAAGGGACAACATATTTGAATTTTGGGAGTTCAGAAGGAGAAGAGATTGACAAAGACATAGATATCCAATTTAATGAACTATTAACTGGCAACTTCCCAGGTTTTGCAAGAGCTATAGATACCAAAATACAGTATACTCAAAGAGTCTCAAATAGATTCAATCCACAAAGGTCTTCTCCAGGACACATTATGGTAAAACTGTCAAAAGTCAAAGACAGAATTCTGAAAATGGCAAGAGAAAAGCCTCCAGTCACATATAAGGGAATCCTTATCAGATTAACAGTATATTTCTCAGCAGAAACCTTGCAAGCCAGGAAAGAAATATTCAAAGTGCTGGAAGCAAAGCAAAACAAAGCAAAGCAAAACAAAACAAAAACAATCTTTTTCCGGGCAACACTACTACACCCAGTAAAGCTATCCTTCAAAAAAATGAAGGTGAAATAGTCTTTCTGAGACAAGCAAAGACTGAGGGAATTTGTCACCACTAGACTGGCCCTATAAAAAATGATTAAATGAGTATTACATCTGGAAGCAAAAGGATTTCTATAATTATAAAAACACATGAAAGTATAATGCTCACTGATAGAGCAGATACACAGAAAGAGAAAGGAGTGAAATGTTATCACTACAAAAAACCCCACTGAATTATAAATAATAAAAGAAGAAGAAAGGGACAAAATGATACAAAACAATCATAATGCAATTAACAAAATGACAGAAGTCCTCACCTATCAGTAGCAACCTTGAATTAAACAATAGTTTAAGTTCTTCAGTTGAAAGGTATAGACTAGCTAAATGAATGAAAAATAAGACCTGTCTATATGCTGCCTACAGGAAACTAACTTCACCTGTAAAGATACACACAGACTGACAGTGAAGCGATGGGAAAAACAATTCCATGCAAATGGCAACCAAAAAGATGTGTAGGAGGAGCTATACTCAGATCAGACAAAATACAGACTTCAAGCCAAAAACATAAAAAAGACACAAAGAAGATCATTTTTATAATGATCAAGAGATCAATTCAACAATAGGCTTTAAAAATATTTGCCTTGCCGGGCTGGATGGTTCAGCCTGTAATCCCGCGCCTTTGGGAGGCTGAGGTGAGTGAATTGCCTGAACCTGAGGGTTCGAGACCCGCCTGGGCAGCGAGAACTCATCTCTACAATAAATAAATAAAAAATCAACCGGGCATGGTAGCGCATGCCTGTAATTCCGGTTACTTGGAAGGCTGAGGCGGAAGGATCGCTGGAGCCCAGCAGGTGGAGGCTGCAGTGG